TAGCTTTTCCACTTACTTGTGGACATCAGCGGTATAAATGGCACATAAAATTGAGATTACTCCTTGAGGCAATTCAGTAATGAGAAAGACGATGAGGATCACCACCAACACCGTCGTAGTTCGATCGGATTTGTGCGATTTTCTAAAATTCAAAGCAGTAGACTAGTTTTGCCCGCTTCTAATTATTGTTCTAAACGAGTATGAAAAGAAGGCTAATTGATAAGCTTACTTTTTTGCATGAGACGCGCCATCAAGAGAATTTGGATTATTGAGGCTGACATTCGTGAGCTTTCTTCGGTGACGTTCCGCCTGACGAATTTTGTCGACTAGACCAAAGCTAAGGATCATGAGCAATATGCAAGGAATAACCTAAATACGTGTTTACAGAAGAGTCAGTAAATTAAATAGCCCGTAGCAAATTAGATAATAAAAAACAATGTAAACAATAATATAAAAAGTTATGTTTATATTGTTGTATACAAATCGAAAAAGGGGAAAACCACATGAGAAGTCTCTGAATCTTAACATATCTACTAGTATTTTTAGGAGGTTGTTATCCCCCTTATGGTTACTTTCTTTTCTCTTAAGAGAAAATCACTAAAAGGTGACTTGCTTGTAAGCAAACGGCATTATGAAATCACCTTGAAAACTATTCCAATCATCCAAATATTCATCTTGAAGAGTCTACAATTGTTGGCAGTAGCTTCTTTGCTAACCTGAAACGTGATAAATGTGAGAAAATGTGCTGTAATTTTACCGCACCAGGAAGTAATTCTTACCGAAAATGTGTATATGGCTTGAGTATAGTTGGCTGGATAACGAGAGGAGCATTGAGAACTTGGCTGCCAAACAGCTTCAGGATATAGAGAGATTTCGTGTACAAATACACTTGGAATGCACATTATAAACACGCATATGTAGATTATAATACACAATTTCCAAGCGAATTGTGGACGTTGCCAAGTGCTAAAATTTGCAATAAATTATTTTTTGTGTACAAATTTACAATGAAATTCTTGTTACATTTATTTTTTGAACAATTGCTTCCTACTTTGCTGCAAAAATCTTGCCTGTCATTGGACTTGTTGGTATTCCTCTTAGGATGTTTCTTTTAGTCTATTTCGCATCAGACTATTATCAGACGGTTGAAATTATTTGATTGAAACAAATCCCTTATGTTGAACGGTGTTTAGACATGTCTACCCCAACTTGTCGGTCGCAAATCTTGCCCCCAAATCTGCTCCAAAGAAAAAAATTGCACGAAGCTTTGAGAGATGTCAAATATTTATGGTCTAGTAACAATGTTTTTTGAAATGTACTTTCGAATACTCATTACACACAGAAGATCATCATGCATCTAGTGACTGAAAGCTCATAACTTCTTTACAACCAGAAAAATTGGACGGTTCTCTTGTTTTTCCTCCATAAAATCTATGTAGCCTCAACGCTTCTATTTGTGCTAATCGCTGTTAGTGTTGTCAGCACCCATATGAGTGACTTGCCTGTTAAGCCTAGCAACTCGAAGAGTCATTCTTCGGATAAATGCCATTGCTACGGCCAACCATAGTGACGTCGTATGCAAAGTGATGCTAAGAGCCACGTGCCAAAGTAGAAACAACATCCATCCACGGGTAAACGTTGGACTACTGAAATATGAATACGCTTGTAAAAACCAAATATTGCACTTCCGCCTCGAGCATGCTTTGCTCTTCATTTGCTATGTTTCAAAAAAACACGGCACTGGATACTAGAGTAAGCAAAGAACATTTAGGTTTCTTGTGTTTGTTAAGGCACTCTATGGAAACTTAGAGGATCATCAAAAAGAGCAAAACTAGCAGTTTTATATGTTTTTTGACTCGAGGCTCAAAACTAAGAGCTTTACGAAACCTTTTTACCAATCAAATTTATAGCCCACGAAAAGAAACAGGAGAGATGTTAGAACAAGATCCAAGCCATGAAAAAGAAAGAAAGCCTTGTCTGGAAAAAAGTATGACACTTCGACGGCTACGATTATTTTCGTTTTGCCACATGGGATCAACAATTTCGAGATTTTCTCAAAGAACAAATTCCAAGTTTGAGCCACTAAAGTTATACATAATACACTGAAGCAAAACACTCTCTTTCTGCCAAATTGTAGAGATACGGTAGAAGATGTAAGATTGCCTTTTCAAAAACATAATTATGTTTACAACTTAATGTAATTAATTCTTGATCAAAAGGCCAAATTCATCATATTTTATTACCATCTCAACTAGAGCTTCATAAGCGCAAAAAATTATTTTAGATTCGAGGGAATATTGATAAGAAAAAGCTTTGTGAATCCTGTACGATACATCGGTGGATTGCATTGTTCCAAAAGAACGCATCCAACTAACTCTTGATTCGTATTTCGTCAATTTGATAATGTATGCGCTCTTCCCGTAATTATCGTTTTGTGATTTTCAACTCACAAGTTTTAAGCGAAGTAAACAAAACAATAAATGTAGTTGACTAAGGAGTTTCTCTTAATTAAGGTGGTGAGCATGTTTCACTATTGGCAAGTTACTACCTATAAAAAGTAGAACGAATCTTCAGTCATAGACAAGGATTTCTAAAATCAAAGTTCTTCAAGTGCGTCAAAACAAGTGTGTGAAGGACCTTTGACATTCGCAAACGAATTTAACGGCGGAAAAATCATTTGTCGAGAGGAGT